ATTATTATTCTATAATAGCTTCTCAGTTTATGACTGCATTCGAAATTTGACAGTAAACGGAGCGCAGTTTATATAATTAAAAGATTTAGAATTCATATATAAATTAGACGCGAAGATCTAGCTTTGACAGTGTTTTAAAATGCTGGTAACATTATTAAATTGATTTATTGTAATTGTGATGTTATTATTTCAACTTCAATTTATGATTGCATTTCAAATCCGATAGTGGCATACAATTTATATAATTAAAAGACGTATTTAGAATTTACATATAAAATATATTACTAGACAAGATCTAGTGTCAACGTTGTTGGCCCTTTCCTTACTTAATTTATTCATAAAACGATCTAGATTAACTTATTATTCTCTTCTTCAATTTTAAAAATCTCTTCTCTGGTTTATGTCAAGCCTGCTCTCTTGAGAGAAAGACAACTTCCTCAAGAGTCTATATAATTTTTTTCCACAAGCATTTAATAAATATGAACACATGGTGAAGCTTGTAATCGTCGTGACCCAAAATCTCGTGCAATTCAACAGAAGTGCAGTTAACGCGTTCGAGACGAGGTGAAAAGAGATTCAGGTAGATTGATATACATATAGATACAAAAAGAAGCGGTTTGTCGTTCTTACACAGTAGTCTTTCGTACTCGGAACCGACTGTTGTGCACGAGAAATTCGCCTTTAGAAATTCGATGACCTGCTTGCTACCACGACCGAGGGGGAGCAGAGGAAGTAACGATGAAAGGAAGAGGTGGAAGAGCAGAGCGCGCGCGGGTCGACCGGCATTGCGTAAACAATAGCGTACACGCAACGTTCACGCATGCACACAACGCATGTCATGGGAAAGGGACTTCAGGGAAGAGCTTGTGGACGAGCCTGCGGTATGAAAGCGAATGGTGCGGAGGGTGCACGGTCTTAAATTCGAAATATAGAGGGCTGAACACACTGGGCGGACTGGCGCGCGCGCACACACACACTACCCGTCGTTACAGGGCGCGCCGTATTTTATCACCCTCATTTTACCACCAAGCTTGTCTATAATGTGGAAGCGCGTGCTTCGACGTTATTACGAAACCACGCAAGAAATTGTTGCGGCAGCCGGAAATAATTCCGGTGAGAGGAAGCGAGGTTCCTTTTATGTGTAAAACCCCGAAAAATTTTGGTTTCATATTAGTATTAAACATAGTAAATATTAGAAATTAATTTTTTTTTCTTTATACGGAAAAGATGGTTTTATTAAAGTGGCTAAAAATTCAGCCAGATACAAATCTGGAAATAATTTGTTGAATCATCAAAACAATTATGCAGATTACTCAAATTGCATAGCTGAATTATTACAAAATTACTTGCAGCATTACTCATTATATTTGAAATTCTTATTTTAATAATCTAACAAAATTATTTTCAGATCTGTATCTAGCTAAATTTTTAGATATTTTAACAAAATCATTCTTTCCTGTATACATAAAATGAATGTGTTAAATAAATCTTGACAAATAAATACATTAGATAATTATCGTATTCCTTTTCTTTGTACATTTCTGCGCATTTTTATAGACGATAAAAAATATTTTATATGATAATAAATACGTTAGATAATTATCACATTTTTTTCTATATAAATTTCTACATGTTTTTTTTTCATAGCAAATATTAAAGCAGTTTTTTTGACGAAAAGAACTTGATTTCGTATTAGCATTAAATATAAAAAATTATATTAAATTAAATATAAAAAAATTACTTCTTCACGTTACATGAAAGTGAATAAATAACCTTGACGAAAACATGTAAAATAATTGTCAAGTTTTTTCATTATACATAGCTACGTGTTTTCTTTTTACAAGATACAAAAAAGATATTGTTTTGCATGCTCATTAAATAATTTATATTTACGATCAGAAGACACTCGGTTATAATGTCAATAAACGATTGTATAATTGCACACACCGGGGCACTTATTATTCATCGGACATCATGGCCGTCATTTCAACAATAGATACGAAATTATCCTGCGACCTCCCGCCGCCTAATTATCAATATTCGTTGCGTTGCAGTCCAGCGGTCGACTCGGTATACGGATGACTGCGATCAATCAGTGACGCAACGCACAATAACCGCTCTCGATGTCAGAAAATAATTAGCGCCGAAGTATCACGAGGTCGTTGCGTATCTTGTTAGCACACGTATGTCAATAATTGAGCCGGATGAAGGAGTTGACTCCGTTTAAATCTTTTAACGTAAAAGTTTACGCCTCCATAATTCTCATCCGATGTGTAAAATATAAAATACTTAAACGAAAAGGGCAGAGAGTTCGATATCAATAATTAATATTATCTCGAAATACGAGCGGAATATAATTCTACGACTGTACACGCATGGAAAGAACGATTTTGCTAAAATATTTAAAAATTTAGTTAGATTACAGATCTACGAATAATTTGTTGTACTATTCAAATAATTATGTAAAACGTTTAAACGTTGTAAAAATGCTGCAAAAATTTTAACATTTTGAGAGAGAGTTTTATAATTGCATGGTAAAATAATAATAGTTAGGAGTGTTATTTTTGGTTATTATTGTTATAATGTTAGTAATAATAATATGTTCTCTCAAACATAAAAAAATTGTACCATAAATTATGATAATTTCAAATATTACTATAGTAAAAAAACATCAAGATATAAATGACGAATGACATAAACATTTTTATTCAATAAATGCAATCGCAATTACAATAAATATAATTATTTTTTTATATTCACTTTAACTATTTATATGGTAATCATAACTAAAATATATATTTAAAAAATTAATGATTTTCAAGCAGTGTGTGCGCGTGTATGATTACTATTATAATTAACTATACTTGTATAGATACAACAACTGTAAATATAAAGTTGTTCTAAAAAGTTGATAGATGCAAATTATAGTTAAATTATAATAATTGCAATCATTTTTCTTCCGCAGCAAAAAAAAATCAGTTTAAACCTATATAATTATATTTGGATGGTCGAAACAAAATTATTTTCAGATCTGTATCTAACTAAATTTTTCGATATTTCAGCAAAACCATTCTTTCCGTACAACCAAGGCGACTCGTATAAATAATTTCACGCGTTAAATTTATCCGCTCGACGCGATCTATAACATCACTGACCATCACCGACCGACCCCCCCTTTCCCTGGTCCAGAAACGCGGGGAACTCGTCGTCAGCGGACGTGCTGATGATCATTGAGATTCGAAATTTGCAGCGTTCTCCGCGCGTAACAATGTTGACATCGGGTCAACCCGTGTAATGCGCGCGCCACGCCGGTGCAACAATGCGCCGTAAATTCATCGTCCGAGTTATCTCCGGCTGAGCTCCGTGAGTCATCGACCGCTGTCGTCGTCGCGCCGCGATCGATTGGATCGAGCAAATAGAGAAACAGAGAGCGAGAGCGAACGACTTCGATGTTGCGCACCTGATGATAACAGAAGGTAGCTGACACCGCCCTGGAGTAGCTTGAATCTACTGAACATGAGTTATCGCTGCTGTTGTTGTTTCTGTCTCATGTTATTCGTGCTCGCGAAGTAGTGCAGTCGGACGGTGTATGTTGTCGGAGAGATGCTGCATCAAGATGCGACTTCTGATGCTTAGGAATTCCTGATGAAGTTCGCTTTCCACGCACTCGCAGAATTGTCAAACTCGTCGATACTTCAATTAAGTTTATCGCTGGATCTCGCGATTGCGAAACGTATTCTGAATTAAATTTTGAACTATTTTTCTTTTTGCACTCATTCGTTCCAACGTTCCCCACTTTTTGTGCTTACATCTTTATTAATTATATTAGACATGTCAATTATCTAATTACTCGGCTGAAAATGACCAAATTAAATTAAATGTTCTGCCACTAGTATATATATGTATATGTGTGCGTTATATTTAATAAATGTATTCGTCTAATTTTGAGCTCGTTTCATATAAATGACCTCTCTTCCTTCTCATTCTTATTTAGTAAAACGGGCGTAATTTATTATTGATTTGAATTAAATTTGTACGATCCTGTTTACAAATCTGGGTTACAGCACAGAGTTGTATCTTCAAGATATATTTTCTGTTATCGAAATGAATTACATTCAGCCTATTATTACATCGCACAATGCACCGAACCAACGTGGAATCGTGGCTTTATCTCAGGAAATTGCGAGAAGTGGCTGGCGACGTCCGTTCGCCGCACAAGCGGAGCATTCAGTGCGCTTAAATACAAAGCTCACATTATCCAGGAGGACATTGAAAATCCGCGCGCAAGCAAGAAACGAATCCAAACTCGCGTCGCACACGCGAGGTCGTGCGGATAAAACAGTGGCAAAAAGTTTTCTTCAAGGCTATGCGAAACGTCAAATCAAGATCCACCGAAAACTATTCTCCAGTCGTCAGCGCGAGGCTCTAATAAAAAAGTCGGCGGGTCTGCTCGGCAATATCCTCGGCAC